AGTGTGATTGCATGCCACTGGTGATGGGGATGCCATACAGATTCATGTCAAAAATACTGAACTATCCCTTTAATGGGCTACTGTATAAAGCCTGGAACTGCAACGCTATTTCTGACATTTTAAATTGAAAAAGCTCCCTGGATGGGAAGCGAAATGTCTTACAACTTTGAAACAAAGTCCAGTGGATTCTTTTTTTAACTTTTCGAATAGACTGAATTTTTTACAACCTATTTATTGCAATGAAAAATCAGTGTTTGCAGAGCTGATGCAGCCTATGCCAAGGCTCTGCATATCTGTGAACTATCTATGACTCGTCTTTCTTACCCGTCTGTCTCAGGTTGGCTGGTTCTAGGGGTCAACCGGCTACGCATGGGTGCGACTCAGCCGGTCACTGTGGACGACTTTAAGGAGGCGGATCTTCAAGAGGTCACTGTTCATCGACGCTACATCTCTGACTCCGCCTCACTTTTCCTGATCTACTTCCTGCAGCTAGTTGTCTTGTCCATGTACCTGAGCCAAGAACAGCTGAAGCTCGTCCCTCTGCTGACCATCATCTTCGCCTTCGGACGGTGAGTGTTGCCGTGCAACAGAGGATCCTAGCGATCCATCCAAACCATCATCCAGGATCCAAAGCATCAAAGATGGATAAGTGTGTGTTTCATCTTTCTAGGTTGGCGTACTGGTTAGCGGCGGCGTTTGGCAGCAGCGTTCGTGCTTTTGGCTTCGGCCTGTCCTTCCTGCCGAGCGTCGCCATGATGGTGGCGAACTTCTACTTCATCTTCACAGTGGAGGCGTCCGGGTCCATCTTCAGTGTGTCGCCTGACTCTGAGGAGGTGGTGGTGGCTCCGCCCAAAGGCAGGCAGAGGTTCTGGGGATGAGATCTGACCAGTTTTTATGCAGTTGGTTTAGAAATGAATGTCTGTAGTTTACGGAGGAATGGGAAGCTCCGCCCACCTCCTGAATGTTTTCTTTTTTTCCTCTTTAAGTTCAGTTTTTCAGTGCTTTTATTTTGTTCAAAACATATGTCTTCTTGCTCATTAATCAACATTTAATTTTGTAAAATATTAATTAAATCCTTTTTTATCTGATATCAGAAAAGTTTAGGTTCATATAATTTCACAATAAAAGCATAAAATCCCCTACACTTCCTGTCTGCAGTCTTTTATCCCACCAGACTGTTCCTACTTGGCTGTCTGACACATGCTAATGTTCACACCTGTAATGAACACACTGTTATATGCTTAGTGTTTTTACAATACAGAAAGCGTTTTTTATTTTCTTTAGTTCTTT